TCTGCAGCTCCTCTAAGTCTATGTGCAGAGGGATATGGAGAGTGTTAATTAATTTCTTTTCATTCAATTAACACTGATCTGTGCTGACCCTTTTTCTTTCCGCACTGCTAGACAAAGAAGATGAACATTCCATCTTCTTTGTCCAAAGCAGGGCCATGCACCAGCACTCTACCCTCTGTCTTGATGCTGACACTATAGCTTTCTATTTCCTTTCTGCGCTTCTGCCTGTCCTTACCAGAGGAACAACTTCCTCCGCTGATTTACCAAAATACCACTTCACATCCAAACTTCTGAAAAATGCAGCTCACCAGGCACCCTTACTTACATGAATAAATTTTAAAATTAGTCTTACAGGTAAATGGCAAGTGTTTCTCATTTACAGTCGTGCCTTCTCAGAGTCTAATGTTAAAAGGCCAGGGATTTTCTTTATTTTGGTGACATAGTGTCAAATCTAATACCCATCAGGAGCTCAGATGTCCTACTTAAGGAGTCCAAACTAAAGACGAAACCAAATGCATATGTAAATAATAAAGAAGATTATAGAAATGCTTTGGTGACTGTGTAGGCATCTAGGTTTAGCTGGTCTTGGAACAGCTGACCTCAGTGATTCACATCTCACCCTTTCAAAGAAAAAAATATTTTACTTATTCTCCCAGTTTCTGCATGGGCCTTCTATTTCACTTCCCTTGAACTCCAGAAGCCTACTTCAACCTTTATGCAAGGCCCCTGAGGATAACAGAGTTACAGCCCAGGCTACTCAGACACTTCATGTTTTTACTGCATTTGCATTTGTTTTGGTTATTCAAAATATGGCCCAAAAAACAGAAGAAAAAAAAACCCTGCTTGATTGATGAACCTCATCACAATCATCACAGAAACTTGGTATTGTCGCTCCCTCCCAACACATGTTTGCATAAACTGGATCCTTTCCCCAGAGTTCTAGAACAAGCTAAGGTAGGTGCTGTCATCATGTCTCTACTCCCTTTCTCCTCCATCTCATACTTGGCTGGTAGCAAAATAGAAAAAGTTAAGAGGGGGGGAGCTCTAGATTTGAACCCACGATTATCTACACTGCTTAATTTTCCTCCTGTTTTGGTGTTGTGTTGAAGCACTTCCTGCTTTCTCTGCAAGACAAATGGCTTTCAAAATGTAAGCAGAGTGGATATGAGGTAGCCACTGCCACTTGGCCTCAAAGCCACAGGCTACAAGCAGAGCTTGTGGAGCTGGAGAAGGCAAGGCAAGGCAAGGTAAGCATCCGGACTGCTGCCTTTCTGGCAGCTTTCTAGTCACTTGGTGAGGCATTAGTGCATTCAGAGTTTTTGTTCTTGCCCACAACACTGCTGCTATATGGACTGCTGATAGAAGAGATGAACTAAAGGTGACTGCTAATTAACTAAGTGATTCTGGAACAATTTCCAGAACAAGTTTTTACTTGCATAACAGTGGTAAATTTCTTTAAGCTCTAGAAACAGATGGTGATTTCTCCTTTCAGTGAGGGCTGCCAATAGCATCAGTAAGTATACACAGTTCATCAGACGGATAAATGTTGGGTTAAAAATTCAAGTAATCAGGAGTCACACTCCTCGCTACATATGCAGGAGCAAACACTATAAATAAGACTGGAGGAATTTCACACAGAGAATGATGCTATTCAGAATCTGGAGGGTAATTTCCAAGCACCCTGATGAGTTGGCACTGCCTGTAAACAAAAGCGCCTCTGCTTGAAGAACGCACGGCTCACGAAATGGCTTCCTTCGGCTGCGGCACTGCAGCGCCCGAAAGCTGCGAGCAGAGACAGCACTGCCACCTGCTGCTCCCAGGGCACGGGTCTCACTTCCATCAGGGGAACCGCAGCATGGGTAGTTAAAGTTGGCATTTCCCACGATAGTGCATTTACTGCAAATTAATTAAAAAGTGAAAATTAATAATTAAAAAGAAATAAAGGCAACTGTCGACTTTGCAAAACAGAAGGGAATAAAATAACCTGTAATTAATGTGCTGTCACAGTTTTGAAAAAATAAACAAGCCATCTTGCCACTTGTTTCACAGCTTAATCACATCCTTTGATGCTGTTATCTTTGGCTGGTTCAACTGAAAGAGTTTCATTAGCAATTTAGTGAAAATGCAGGCAATCAGCATCTCACCAGATTAAGGCTTTACAATAACAATGCTGTCCTTAATTAAAGGTATCATGGGCAATGGCAGACTGATAATAGCTGGAATCTTGGAAATCTTGTCCTTGGTGAACATTAGAAATGTGCCCACAGAGTTAATGTTTTAAGGTGATAATAGAAGCCATTGCAATATTCATAGTTCTACAACAGTATGCCACTGACATAAACTGATAGTGACTAATGAGATGGCAGATGAGGCTAGCAAGAGACACAGTTCATCAGTATTAACCTGGTCACTACAGATAGGACTAGTGAAGGGCAGGTCTATGATCGCTGTAAAGTCAGTGCTGAAGACACTATGCAAGGATTTTATGAAGAAAACCTGGTGGCCCTGGAGCTTTAGATGAGACACAATTAGATAATTTCACTAGAGTTTATGTTTTAATGAGTTAGTTGTGAAAGTTTTCAGGAAGCACAAAAGTGATGGTGATTTTCTCTGACAACGATGCACAAGTACAATCTGAAGGAAAGCCAACATACTTTTGAGAAAATTGATTTTTCACACCTTCACCTCAGAAATGCTTTGATGAAATAAATAAATGTATATGAAAAGGCATGCATAGGATGCATGTGATCAGGCACTGCAGGTGAAATCACAGAATCACATAATTGCAACTGTTGGAAGGGACCTCAAGAGATCATTGAGTCCAACCCCGCTGCTAAAGCAGGTGCCCTACAGTAGGTCGCACAGGTAGGTGTACAGACAGGTCTTGAATATCTCCATAGCAGGAGACTCCACAACCTCTCTGTTCAACCTGTTCCAGTGCTCTGTCACCTTTATCGTAAAGAAGTTCTTCCGCACGTTCTTATGGAACTTCGTATGCTATCCTTCAGTCTTCAAGCACCTCTCCCATTCACCAAAATCTTTTAAAGATGATAGAGAGTTCAGCAATCCCCTCTGCCAGCTCCCTCAGCACTCATGGGTACATCCCACTGAGGCCTGTGGATTTGTGTGATGATTTTGGCTAGATGCATCTTCTTGAACCCTAGGGAAGCTTTCCATTCCTCAGACTCTTCCTCTTATCTCCAGGGTCTAGGATTCCTGAGGGGCAAATCCTGGCTGAAACCTCAGGAAATTTTGCCTCTGACTTGAGAGGGGCCAAAATGTCAACTTTCATGTTTATATTTGCACATGGATTCCACCAGGAAGGATTTTCTTTCTGAATTTTAGAACAACTCTTCTTTATGCTAGATTCTAAAGAAAACAGCTTTTCCCATTAGTCAGAACACTTGATACGCAGTGTGGCATTACAGCCTGTTCATACTTTCTCTTCCAATGCTTTGAATCAGGATCATCCTTGCTTGGCAAGTCAAGCTGCCCATGGCTTATCTACTCAATGTGTGTTAATACTGCTCTGTAAGCCCATTCATCTGTTCCTTACAGGGTCTGTGATTGTAAGTCATTCAAGCGTATGAACCTGAGCCCTTCTCTACCACTACCTTCTGTCATTCTTTTCTTAATGCTTGGAAACTCTTCAGAATGTCAGAGAAATGCTGACTGACCCAAGTGCCTGGTGATGTGCTCCCTCCCTTTTCTGGTGCAAATTCAAACAGTTTAGCTTATAATAAGCACACATTGCAGCTTATAGAATGGGAGAGAAGCAGAAGAGTGTTTTGGCATACAGACATGATTCTCAGACTTATGATGCTCAGTGGATAGAAAAAGGGAAGTTATGCAAAAGAAAAGAATTCTGGTAAGCAGTAAAAAAGTAGGCTGTGGCTATAATATCAATTTTACAGGATACCCATCACTATAGCAAGTATTTATGAAATTGAAGCTTCCCAACCTGTACACTAAAGATATCACTTGAATGTATCCAGTTCACTTCTGAAGAGCTCCTATGGGTTATGGTTACTGAGGCTAAATGCAGTTACTGGTATTCTTCCTTTGTATAGCTAACACAAGACCATTCTCACTCCAGTCCTCTGCTCCTCCAGCCCTAACCCCTCTTTTTGATGTGTGATGCATACTTAATTTAGCAACGTTCACAATCTGTCCTCTTGAACTTATAGAGTACTTAGGGCTGTATGTAAGCACCTCCTATGGCTTCTGAAACATTTTTTTCCATTGCAAAGTGAAAAAAATAAAAACAAAATACAAAACAAATATATTTGCTTTGGCTGATGGAAAAAAGTGTACCAGTACATTAAAAACAAGAATGTAAAATATGTGGAAAAAGTAAACAAAACATAACTTAGTAAATCTACTGTTGTCAAATGGCAGTGACCTGAACATCATTATTTTTTTATTACAAGTTGAGGGGACAGCCACATCAGCCTTAACCTGAGGATACAGACTGAGATATCAAGAAGAGAGATCACATGCATAGGTTACTGGTGAATATTAACCCTTTAAAGTTATTCCAATATAAAACAGGTCTGAATAACCACAGTTATAATCTATACACAGTATTAAAGACAAGGCTGTGTAATTACTGTAACTCTAGAACACTGACAATATGCAGTTCAAGGCTCATAAAATCCAGAAAGAACTGCTATCAATCCCCTCTGTATTTATTTTGCTTTTTCTTAGCTGTATTTCATTTTTTCCTTTCTCCTTTTCCCCTACAACAAGTTTTATGCTTGGCAATTTACATGTATTCTTTTTACTTTTTGGACTGCCAGTCATCAGAGAGTTTTGATTTACAAAGAGATCTTTTCTTATTCTGGAAGCTTCTTTGTCACTCTGACTGCAGGATTTATGCTTCTGCCTCTCAGATAAGCTTCCCCTTCACTGAGATCCATTCTACAATCCCAGCCTCTTTCTATGTGATTTAACCCCTCAGAGATGAACAGATGCTTGGGTTTTTTTTTTCCTCATTTTATTTGAAAAGATTATATTTAAGGGAATTGGTTCTCCACAATCAAGACTTTGTATTAAAAAAATGTAAACAATAACAATGAAAGCACTCAATTATTTCAGGGTAGCAGGTTCGCAAAAAGCACATATATGCAACACACATGAAAAATTATAAGGTGAAAACGATCAGGTCCCTTTAATGGCTGCAACCTTTTTCAAGCTAGAAAAAATGTATAGCATATACTTCTGCAGTTGTCTCGTGGTAGATATGGGAAAGACAATTTCTGAGTTTTACTACTCAAGCCACCAGATTTGTATTCAAAAGTCAGAGTGATCTTTATTTTGCCAACAGTTTGCAGGTATGCAAAAGGGATCTGAAGATTCTTTTATTAGACACTTAGAACAGGTTGTGCAGAGAAGTTGTGGATGCCCCGGCATTGGGAACGTTCAAAGTAAGGTTAGACGGCTTATGAATAACCAGATCTGCTGCAATATGTCTCAGCTCGTGGCAGGGGGTTGGACTAGATGATCTTTAAAGGTGCCTTCCAAACTAAGTCATTCTGTAATCTAAGATTTTATTATAGTGTTAGGGAAAATGATTGATGATACCGTCCCTCCCATGTGGAAGTACAGATGAAGCTTCAGGGTTAGGAGGAGACCTGTCCCAACCATAAAGACAAGCACTGAAGCAAGGCCCCAGAGGGTAGGAGGCTGCTGTTCCCTCCTGAGGTTACACAGTGCTCATCACTGGCTGCATCATCTGCTCATGCTGACGTGTCATGTCTCCAGGAAATGTTTTGGCCTCTAATCCTGTCACTTGAAAGGAGACTTAGTGGCAGACTGGGCATGTCCTACACAGAAATGAAAAGGGAACATTGAAGGGAACAGAAAAAAAAGACACAAATTTCTTTAATTGTGGTGTTTTGCATGCAAGATGAGCTTGTTGTTATATATAATGTATGTGCAAAGGGTGCCTTTCGACCTATGGGCAGTTCTGAGCAGTATAAAAGCCTGTCCAACACCATGCTCCCTCATCCACTTCTCTTGCCTTCTCCTTCTTGGTGAACAAGGTAAGCAGCAGTGCTCTTCTTGTCATTGTCTCTTTCTCTGTTTCTCTTCTTTCTCCTCTGACCTCCACTGAGTCTTTGACTCTTTTCCAGCCTTGGTGTGAGTCTTATTCCTTGGTGGTGCTCCTACCAGCTCTGTTCTGCTTGCCAGAGTCAGGGGAGGTGGAAGAAGACCTTGGGCTGTCAGTGAAGGGGCCTCTTCCTGCTCCACAGCCCGTACCTCCTCTCTTGGTGAGCAGGCCACCAGGCTGCTGCTCACACTGCCTGTGCTTTGCCTGCCCTTTCTCCTAGGTACACCTCCATCCCACAGCCATGTCCTGCTTCGATCTGTGCCGTCCCTGTGGCCCGACCCCGCTGGCCAACAGCTGCAACGAGCCCTGTGTGCGGCAGTGCCAGGACTCCCGTGTGGTGATCCAGCCCTCTCCTGTGGTGGTGACCCTGCCAGGTCCCATCCTCAGCTCCTTCCCCCAGAACACTGCTGTAGGATCCAGCACCTCTGCTGCTGTTGGCAGCATCCTTAGCCAGGAGGGAGTGCCTATCTCTTCTGGGGGCTTTGGCTTCTCTGGCCTGGGTGGCCGGCTCTCTGGAAGGAGGTGCCTGCCCTGCTAAAGCTGGGGTGGACATCCTCTGAGCGCATCCCAGTGATGCTTGAAGCCAGGCACCAGACTGAGGATGTAGCTGCTGGCCAGGGTTTCCAGATGGGATAAGCATCCTCCTGCCCTCCTGCAAAGCAGAGAGGGAAGCCGGGGTGCCAGCCTGTGCTGACTGGAAACACAGCCAGCAGACGTCTTCTTCTCCTGCTTTCTTCTCATCATCACAAGTCTTTGTTGTCTCATGCTGTCCTCTGCCATGGATTCATCCTGAAGCAAGCTGAGAGGGCCCCACTTCTTCCTCTCGCCACGTGAGGGAGGAAAACATGCATCCTATTGTGGCAAAGTTTGCAAGCTGACTGCCAATCTGTTTACCAGCTGCTTTTGTAGCAGCTTTAAACTATGCATGCTTTGATTCCTTCTTTAGATTCAATAAAATTTATGCTGCATTGTAATCTCAGTATCCTCGTGTTCCTTTCCTGTTGAGATTCATGGCAAAGTCATTCAGGGAAAAATATTTTGACTTGGAGTCAAAATGTTGTATAGCACCATAAAGTTTACCTTTGTAAACTTTGTATGGTATTGTCCAGGTCTTATCAGTGTCCAGGACATCCCTCTAATGGGCATGTCAGCAATGAATGATGTTGGATATTGTTTTTCATTTGATAAGACAGGATAATTTGATAAGCCGAATACAGGAGTAGGACTTGATGGTCTTTCTGAGTCTCTTCCAATTCAGGATATTCCAGGATTCTACAATGCAAAGAGGAGAGCTTCTTAAAAATTGAATTCCTGTATTCCTCAAGGGCTTAAAGAGTCTGCAAACTGCTAGAATTAAGTGTGGTGTGATTTGCTTGAGAATTTAGATACTTGCTTATTTAAAACTTCATTAAATCCGAACACTGATTTTTCATTCCATATATTTCTGAAATGTCCTAACCATCTGACACTTGCTCTATCAATATGTTAATTTTTAGCAATAAGGTGTTAGTTAAACTTATTGACATGACTGAAAATCACAGATGTTGTAGATAGATAATATCTTACAAGAAATCCCTACAAAGCAGAGTGATAATTCCTCCATGTAAACTTGGAACAGGAAAGCACATTCAGAATTTCCTAGACAGAGTAACTGAATCCCATTTTAGCGTCTCCAGCTACAGAGCAAAATACATAAAGTTCCCTCAGAAAGAAGACAGCTTTGTCAGTCCTACTTCCAAATGGACTACAGTTTTAATTTACAGGTAAGAAACACTGTTTTTCATTACTTTGTGCAGTAACATCTCATTATCATGGGCCATCAGGAAGCTAGGGAACAGTCAACTGTGCCTGATGAAGTTGATTCCAACCTTCTAGCTCAGCTTCAAGAAACAAAACTCAGCCTAAGCTGAAAATCAGGTTGGGTTCTGCAGCACATAAGGAGTTAAGAGCACAAATGATAGAGGAAGCTTGGAAACACTGCTGAGGATGAGGGCTGGCACTTCATGAATGAAGTGTTCTGGCAAGCTCAACTTTAGTTCTAGCAGATGCTGACCTGCTAATTCACTTGCTAGGCTGAGATGTTCAGCAGGCAAAGCATCTTCCCTCTCAAATGAAATGTTCTCACTACAACATTAGTTTACACTGGGTCAGAGACGGTGTGAGCAAGCAGGAGGCCCAGCAGCTCCTCCTGGCATGGCCACACAACTGAGACACACTGCCTGCAGGAGCTAAGAGAGGGTCTGCTCACAGCCTTCACTCACAGATGTTTCCATTGACATGAATGCTGGTTATGGCCATAAGTGATGTGTGTTCAGTAAGATCCTGAGTGAATGGCTATTTTCCAGGACATTTTGAGCAGTGAAAACCTTTTGGAGCTGCATACCAAGCAGGAGGGCCTGTACTCTGAGGCCTAAGAGGCAGAAACCAGTTTGGGCATCCTAACAATAAAGAGTCTTCTTTTTTTTTTTTTTTTTTTTTTTTAATGCATTTAAATTCTGACTTTCATCTTTCAGGTAGGAAGGTGAACACTGAGTCTCTAATGAGACTTCATTAATTTCATTTCAGTCTGTGTCAGAGGAGATGAAGTCTGGTGGACAGATGCTTAATCACAGAACCCAGGAAAAAGCTGGGCCCACCTCTGCCACATTCAAAGCATCCTTCAGGACTGACACCCTGAATGAACATTAGCATGCTAAATAAGCTTTGTCAAGCCGTTCCCTCCCTGCCAGTTTAATATTTCTCGTTAGTTTAGATGGACTGTGAAACTAGCAGGGTGTGACATCAACACACTCAATTCCGCATCCGAAGACACAAGCTTAGGTAGGACAAAAAATAGCATGCATATTTGTCAGTCACCAACTCATGGAGTGCCTGCTGTGGGTTCCCACCTAGGGACTTTCTTTCCCTCCTTCTTTAATGGATGCGGTAAGCATCCCTGGTGAGGATAACAGCATTTCTTCCATTAAATGTAATAGGAATTTTACATCAATTTCAACAGGAAAAGATGCAAAGAGAACAAAGAAAAACATTCATTTTTCTGAGTCTGTTCAAGTGAACCATTCCAGTTTACATTTGGTACATAGTGGCAAAAAGCCAAAGCAAATGAATTCCTTATTGTGCACTGACCACAAGTATCATTTTGAAAAGTTAGATTACCAAAAAACACACCAATAACCACAGCTAAATGGAACATGTAAGTCTGAAACACAGTCACCACTATCTTTATTATTAATTACTTATTTTTCAAGAATACATTTTGAATTCCTCTGTTAAAATACAGTTTCATAAATAAGAAAGGGATTTAAGCCAAACCTCTAACTTTTGAAAAGTTTCTTAAAAAGTATTTTCTCTTGTATAGATTTCATGCCCAGGAGTGACGCTCCCCTTGTGATTAGCTTCTCAGAGGAACAGACTTAAGGTCAGATCTTCACTGGTTCCTTTGCAAACCAGCACTTCTGTCTTTTGATTATAGCCTCCTCCGAGATTTGTCTTCTGGGTTTGAAGCACAACCCAACCTTGTCTGAGCCTTGACTCCTGACTTCAGTTCCTACCCTGGGGCCTTCAGTAATAAGAAGGACTGCCAGCACCCTACTCTCTTGCATTTACCATTCGCAAATGCTTTTTCTCACTAAAAGCTATTCTGAAGCCTGACAGACCCTACAGAAAGGCAGGCAAGTGGGAGTAGAGGTTGTTTTTGATATCCTAATTAGTTGTGTTAAAAAAAAAAAAAACAGATAATGAGTTACATTTTCCCTACTAGAAGAAACTCTTCTATTGAATCCTCATGCCGTCAGATTCTAGGACAGAGTGTAAGGCTGCTGATCCATGCTGATGGCTGATGTAGAAGATTGATGTAGCTTCCACTCGTGTTTGCAAAGGTCTGACTGTCTTTCTGTCAGTACTGTGGTAGAAGCTGGGTCAGAATGCTATGTATTCACAGAAAGTAAAATTGCCAAGGGAAGACTTGTACATGTGAATGAAATATTTCACTGAAATATCGAAAATTAATTTCTGAGAGCCAAGTCTCATAGAAAGAACAGTGACTTAGAACTGCTCCACAGGGACTGTGAGTAATTTGGCACAGGAGAAAACTTGCACATGTTGTGCATGTAAAATATCACACTGCTACACATTATAAAATGACATAACTGTCCTATATCCCTCTGGCAGAGCTGAGTGTTTTGACACTTGATCATCTCCTGAGGTCTCTTCCAACCTGAATTATTCTGATTCTTCCTTCAATGTCACTCACACTTGAACATTTTCATAGGAGATGGACTTCCTAGGATATGCAGTTGCAGCTAACTAACAATATTCTTTTTCTTGCATCCTCAAAGCAAGATTGTGAGGCTTAAATGAGCAAAGCTGAACCATAGGTTCAGATCAGTAGTCCTTTTGTTATTTTTACGCAGGAGATTAAATATTTTACTGAATTCAGTAATGAACTCTAAAACAATTCAATCATATCTTATTAGACATAACTGCAAACCACAACTTTTAGTTCTGAAGAGGGATAAAATGTGTTCTTGCTTTGTCAAGTGTCCTAGGAAGAATGTGAATATAGTAATGTTTACTTCTACTTTCTGTGACTAAAAGGCTCTGAGCAACATGATCTAGCTGCATATGTCTCTGTTCATTGCAGGGGACTACGGTCCTTGAAGGTCCCTTCCAGCTCAAACGGATTCTATGATTTCTCTAAATCGGGTATTTGGGTCATGTAAGCAACACTTCGGAGCCCTTTCCATTTATTAACTGCAATATGGTTCACTTCCGCTAGGTGCTGCCCTTCCTCTACGGTTTGAGAAGGAATTTTTACACTTCCTGCTCGAGGGCATCTGAACCAGATTACTCCTGTGGCTGTTGTACTCACACTGCAAAAACCAGGCTCGTTCTTCATCCCAGCATGGTGCCACTGGCAGCCGTGATGGAAACCTTCTTTTAAGCACTGACTCAACAAAAGCACCCATCCAAAAAAGAACAACAGTCTAAACTCAAAAATGCCAAAAGAAAAACGGATCCCACTGTTAGGACAGAAGGCATCCAAAGCATAGCTCGTCCCAGTTGACAGCTAACAGCAAATGCTGTGAGTGCCTTATCTGAAGCAACTCATTCTCAGAATTGTCATGGTACCAACAGAGTTAAGGAAATTCACATTTCCCATCATAAAGCTTAATGTGTCCACCAGATCTCAAAATCTCCCTTTACTAGTCATATGTCTGCCATGGAGCTCTGTGGCACCCCTGAATGTACCAGTACCAGTACCTCACCGAGTCTCCCACACAAAACGAGAATAAAACACAGAGGTTATAGCTGCGTTATGCAACCTAGTGACTGACACGCACATGAAAATAGTTGATACATTCATCCATTTTAATACCACTGGATGAAGTCCAGTTCTCGTCATTGGAGATAAATATAGCCAAGTAAAAAGAGATGGGAAATGGAGAAAAAACTATTTTAAAATTTGGTGAAATTAGAAAAGAAACAACTGTCGGATGTTACAATAACCACAGCCTTGCAGTCAGGCAAAGCATCCTCTCTTGCATAAAGCCGCAGGAGATGCCCAGAGAGAACAGTAGTTTTGAGAAGTAGTTGCTTCAAAACTGGTATTTCAGTCCTGGGTTCATCCTTCAGCCCAAAGAATGACAGCTATCTCAGAGACAACCACGGCAGCCTGGGAGCCCTGGGCAGCATGGCCTGCTGGGTGGCAACCCTGCCCATGGCTGGGGATTGGAACTGGATCAGCTTTGAGGTTCCATCCAACCCAAGCCATTCCATGATTCTATGATTCTGTGGTCAGCTTGCTTAAATAGCAGATGAATTAAACATCCTATTTTTTACACCGAAGCATCTGCAAGGCATCCTGCTGGCATATACAGAATCTTCCACTGAAAATTGTGCAGTGAATAATTGCCCTCACGAGCATCACATGATCTCATCTCCTGGGTGCACAGTGCTCTCAGCAGAGCCCACACAAGGGAAGCTGAATTTAAAATATGCATCTGTGGGAGGCTCCTGAAGTGGCTTCCTACTAAGGATGGCTGGGAGCAGGGTGATGCTGGGGGGAAACACCACATAAAGGAACAGAGGCAAAAGTAACCCCATGAAGCTCCTACCAGCAAACCACAGTGTGATATTTTCATGTGTTTTAGTCTAGTGAGTTGACTCTAAAATAGCATAAGACAAAACAAAGATTCCCTCTGGGCTAGTGGATAAGTGACATTATTTTTCTTTTTGTCTGTAGTGACAAACTTGTGTATTCAAATGGATAGTAAACCAAACTCTTTCAGGCTTCTTGTACTTCCCCTGATCTTCACTAAACTACAGTTTTAACCCCAATTCTACTCCTCTCTCAAAAACGAATAAAAAATAAAAAGGAAGAATGAACCAAGTCCTTAGTTACAACACATCAGCAAAATATCAGATTAACCTACTGTGCCATTTTGCTCCCACAAATGAAAACACATGGTGGTCTGTGTGCTGGCAGCCTGTTTTTCCATTTGGAAAATGCAGTGTTCTCTGCTGCCTTATTCTTAGTCCTTTCCAACTGAACTGTTGAGGCTCCTGAGTGACTCAAGCTCACCCCATGCCCTGCCTCACCTCCCTGTTCTTGTCATCTGCTCCCTCTGCAAAACTCTTATTTCTCAACTCCCTCCCTTCTTCCTCTTCTCCGTGGCAAACTTACCTCGCTTTCTGAGAACTAGCTTGCCTTTCCTTCCTCCTCCATTTCTCCATTTTCAAAGTAATTTTAACGCCTGGCTCTGCACCATCTGATTTCTCGTTCAATGGATTTGTTGTTTGTAGCACAACAGACCTTGGAAAGCGCTCCCTCCTGTCCCTCCAGCTGCTCTTGAGCAAATGGGCACGAGTGGACACCCCAAGGAGAGAAACCGAGCACACCACAACGGCAGCTCAATGCTGTCGCTCGTAAAGAGAAAGAAAGGTGGAAGAAATTCAAGCAAAGCCCCGAAACATAATTTAAATGCTCCCTGCCGCTACATTCTAAATAGGCGCTTATGTTTCCTAACATACCCAATAACTCCCAATCAAATCTCAGCTGTAAGGCCACCCGGTGACACCTGTACTCCCCCCGACACACACACGGGTGCCACGGTAGGGTCTCCGCACCGCCACTCCCGGTGCGTTCCTCACTAACAGCGGCCGAGGGCAGAAGGAGCGGAACCGCGCTCCCCCCTTCTCCGCAACACCCGGCGCCGGGCCTCAGGGAGAGGCAGGGCAGGGCAGGACGGGGCGGGGGCCGGGGACCCTGCGTCAGTGCCGAGCCGCCGCCGTCCCCTCCCCGCGCGCTCGGCTCTGCCTCCCGCCGGCCTCCCCCGCCTCCCGCCGGCTGCGGCCGCGTACATAAACGCGGCCCCGCCGCCGCCGGGGCGCTCCGCTCGTAGCCCGACGGAGGCGCCCGGTCTGTAGTGCGGCCGCCCGGCTCCACGCACCGACGGGGCGGGGGCTCCGGCGGGCAGCGGCCCTGCGGCACCTGCCGGCGGCGGCAGGAGGGAGGAGGAGGAGGAGGAGGACGAAGGCGGCGTCTCCCCGCCCGCGGCGGGCTCCCTCGGCATGGCCCTGGCGGACAGCGCCCGCGGGCTGCCTAACGGCGGCGGCGTGTCGCCGGCGGCGGGGAGCGGGGCGACGGCAGCGGCGGCGGGCGGCTGGTCGGCCTTCCCCGAGATCGTGGAGCTGAACGTGGGCGGGCAGGTGTACGTGACGCGGCGCTGCACCGTGGTCTCGGTGCGGGACTCGCTGCTCTGGCGCATGTTCTCGCAGCAGCAGCCCAGCGAACTGCCCCGGGACAGCAAGGGCCGTTTCTTCCTCGACCGCGACGGCTTCCTCTTCCGCTACATCCTGGACTACCTGCGGGACCTGCAGCTGGTGCTGCCCGAGCACTTCCCCGAGCGCAGCCGTCTGCAGCGCGAAGCCGAGTACTTCCAGCTGCCCGACCTGGCGCGCCGCCTGGCGCAGGCTCGGGCCGCCACCGCCGCCGCCCGCCCCGCCGCGCTGCACCGCGACGGCTCGCTCTGCGCCGACGAACCGCCGCTGCTCGGCTGCTTGGAGGCAGAGCCCGCGGAAGGAGGCGCCGCGGCGGCGTCCGCGCCGTCGCCCACCGCCAGCCGCAGCCCCTCGGGCGGGCCGCTGCTGACGCCCTCGCAGTCGCTGGACGGGGCGGGCGGGCGGCGCTCCGGCTACATCACCATCGGCTACCGCGGCTCCTACACCATCGGGCGGGAGGCGCAGGCCGACGCCAAGTTCCGGAGGGTGGCGCGCATCACCGTGTGCGGCAAGACCGCGCTGGCCAAGGAGGTCTTCGGGGAAACGCTGAACGAGAGCCGCGACCCCGACCGCCCCCCCGAGCGCTACACCGCCCGCTACTACCTCAAGTTCAACTTCCTCGAGCAAGCCTTCGACCGCCTCTCCGAGGCCGGCTTCCGCATGGCCGCCTGCTCCTCCACCGGCACCTGCGCCTTCGGTCCCGAGCAGGGCGGTCCCGCCGACGACAAGATCTGGACCAGCTACACCGAGTACGTCTTCTGCCGGGACTGAGCCCCGCCCGGCGGCGCGGGGCTGCGCGGCCCTCGCACCCGCGGGGCTCCCCCGCCGCCTCCCGCCTCGCCTCACCGCAGCGCGCGGCCCCGGAGGGCCCCGGGGGCGGGAGCCGCCGTGCTGCAGTCCGCTTTGGCTGCCGCGGCGCGGCCCGGCTGCCCTGTCCCCCGTCGTGCCCCCCGGTAGCTGTGTTGGGAGCGGGGAGGGAAGAGGTCACGGGTGTGAATAAACACCCCGGCCAGGAAGGCGTGCGTGTGCCCAGCCCCTGCTTCTCCACGCGGTGCCGTCAGGTTGGGGTATAGGGGCCAAAGAACTCTACCAGTTGCTTTTCAGTGATTTCTGTTGAACTAGTAGGTGTCTTCTCCCATCCCCATACTCAGACTGAGATTTTACGTCTTTGAGCAGGTTATGGCAGTCCGTTTTCTGGCCCCTCCCATGAAAGCGATGCCAACCTGTGAAGGATAGCCATGTGGCGGTGATGGCTGCCTGTCACACTGGCATTGCTGCTTGTACTTAACCTGTAGAGATGAATAATTTTGCAGGAAGTGAGCGTCTTTGTGACCAGATTCATCCGCGTCCATCTGCCCTCCCTCAGCCTCTGAACTTGCCAGGCTGCGGAGCTGGGCCGAGGCCTGCGCAGCAGGAGAGCGAGGCTGCAGTGGAGCACTGTTCTTGGGATAACCATCGAACTGTAGTCTGCAGAATCAAGGGACAGCCCTTTGGGAGCTTAAAAAGCTGTGTACATTGTAACTTCCATGGGTGGCATGAAGTCCTTGTAATTCTCTTGAAGTCTGCAATATGCATAGAAAATCCAGTGCATATTTCCTTAGCATCCTCCAAATGACTGAGGTGGGGTAACAGCCGGACTGCCATGGTGAAGGTGGGGCCTACTTCCTGTTATGGTGAAATTGTGTGTGTATGTTGAATGGAAGCAGATAGATTTTTTAAGTGTAATCAAGAGTACCTTGCTTATTATTTTGAGTTTTGTCATCTAAGTGGTGTAAAATTTTGAAGCCAATGGAACTGATGCTGAAGCAACATTTTTAAGAAACAGTTTCTTGTTTTTCATGTCAGTATTACCTGTGACTGCTGAGAGCTAAGAATCTCTCCTGCCACACAGCTCATTCTTAGAAAGGATTAAGCCCCATCCTTACGAAAGCTAGGGCGGTGACAGTATTCTTCAGGAGAAATTGCCCTTTAAGAAAGTAAAGTTGTGTCATGTTCATGCTATTTGGTAGTCTCTCTTGTAGAAGACAGCCACAGCTTGCTTTGCAACCTACAGCCTGAGAGTGGTTTGCACAGTAGGGAAAGTCAAGCAGTTCTATCCAATAAATTCCTGAAGGTTTGAGTACAAAAGCACTTTAACACCTGATTTTGAAGCCTGTGTTCTCTGTTCAGATGGTGACAGAAAAATATCTTAAGTGTAGTGTTGAAAGAATTCAACATTTGAAGCCTGACGTTGCATTTTTTTAAACTGTTGATTAACAAGTTGATCGTTCTAACCCCAAATTTAGAAATACTGCTAGCACTTATGTCTAACCAAAGAATTTCATAGTAGGGTTTTATTTTTAAAACCTTAGTTCCTTTGAAAAGAGCTATAGCCACTTACATACTGAGTTCCAGCACTCAGTCTCCATGTGCATCACTTGGTCGTTCACTAAGTACATCTGCAGTTGCGTAAAACTGAAAATAACTTCCATAGCCATGAGTTTTTTAATTGACGAGATTGTTTATCAGTGTGACTAAAGCGATGATGCACATGCGAAAGCTCTGAATATTGTCCAGCTGTAGATAGATGTATAATGGAGTATTTTTAAGTGGAGAGCAATGTCCATGTCTTGTTAGATGAGCAATAAGATAGAGTGAGAGGCCAATATACCTGAAGACTGATTGAAACCTGTTTGTCTTATGCCTTACTTTGAGATAATTTCTTTATACTGCAAGTGAAAGGAGGTTGATCACAGCTACTAGGTCTGTGCATTGTCATTCTCAAGAATAATGACTGTCTTTTTCTAGTTTCTGTTAAGTAACTCTGAAGTATGTTTTTTAAAATTTTGTATAAAATTTCAGTAAAAGTGTTCGGGTTCGTTCTAGATAGCTTTCTTTTTTTAAGAATCTGGTAGCTTATGAAATCCATCATAGAAGCTATGAATAGGGGCAGTTTTGAATTGAACTTGTGATTTAGTATGTATATATATATACAGTATATAAACATTTTACATGAATCATTTAGTTTTTTAATCACTTTAGTGCTACAAAATTTCATACCTAGCTGAGCAGTTACGTATTATGCTGTGTACATAATATGGTAATGTTTTATTGGTTTCTTATACCTGTTTCTATGGCAGAAAACTGAATGCAAATATCAGCATTAGTGTAGAACTGAAATTGATTACATATTTGCTTGAATGTGAATCATACCTTAACTTGCAGGTGGTTGAATGCATCTCTCTTAACAAAAACTGCCTGTAGTTTGATCAGTGAGTGCTGGCCCATTTGATGGCAGATGACCCAGGAACTCTCAGAATTTTAAGTAAAAGTTGATATAATAAAAATGTAAATAGATCATTTAAAAGAAAAAATCTTTGTGTTTGTGCTAAAAACTCTTTTAAGTGTGATTAGTATTAGACAATGAGGCTGCTCATTTTATATTTAAAATCTTGGTTTGAAATGACAGTGCCACAAATTCAGCAGTCATTTGATGACTTGCTGCAGAAAACTCTGTATGTCTTAAAGGTTAATTAGCAATTTCAGTCAAGTTTTCAAAAGGTAAAATGCCCCAGGCCAAGTCCCTGAGTTTGGATGATCTCCTGTGGTGTGCACTCAGAGAATGGATGGATGCAATAGCTCCTCTAACCCATTATTATACAGAAGGACAACATCTAAAGGCACACTGCTAGAGCCCCACACATGGTTTGCAGCTGTTCATTGTAGATTTACTTAGAGATAAATGCAGTAGCGTTTACAAGAGCTGTTAAACTCAGTCGTTCTTTTAATTAGAATTTAAGGTTTTCAGTGATGCATATCGTGAAGGGTGACTGCGGATGTTTGATAGGATGTTTATATTTTTATACATGTAGATAACAAACCACTTGCTCATTCTTATTTTCACATGTATAGCATTGAAAATAAAGATCCTCCTAGGAAAATGTTGCAAACCAAATTAAATTGTTGTTCTTTAAATATTAACTTGGTTGTGTGATTCATGCTGTCCTTTTTACTCTGGAGAAGATGTTGGCTTTGCACTCTGTTCACAGTGTCGTAACCATTCAACAAATATTTGTGGCTAATAAGTAAAACAGGAACATTGAACCAAGAATGGGGATTTCTAGTAACAGCTGTAGCACGATAAAGAGAAATGTATAATGCTCAGACAGAGCATTTTAAGTTCACAGAGAATTTTTGTGGTACCAGTCAGTATGAATCCGTCCTCAGGGAACCATAGTGAATAAATAGTTTAATTTGAAAAGCACAAAATATTAATGTAAAATGCCTGTGTTTTTTAAGAAACTAATTAAGTATAATTAACTTGGATATAATAATCATTTAATGAAGGAAACTTTAGTACTCAAAGAAAGATCTGAGAGAAATGCTATGGAACAGAAGGGTGATGGTGTTGGCTACCCTGTGAACTCCACTAAACTGTTACAAACCCAGTGGAGTGTGCTGTGGTCAGATTCGTTGCAGGTTAGTAATTCCAGTCAAAACCGCTTGTGTGAAGCATCTATATTTAATGGAGCTTTTCTTGGGTAGAATGGTTACAATGCAACGGAACTAAATGAAGGCCCCTAGCACAAGAAGACAACTCTTGGAACAGGTACAGAGGAAAGCCACTAAGATCAGAGGGCTGGAGCACCTCTCCTATGAAGAAAGGTTGAGGGAACTGGGATTGTTTAGCTTAGAGAAGAGAAAGCTCCAGGGAGACTTCATTGCGGCCTTCCCGTACTTGAAGAGAGCATATAAACATGAGGGGGAATGGCTGTTTACAAGGATGGATAGTGATAGGACGAAGGGGAATGGTTTTAAACTGAGACAGGGGAGGTTTAGGTTAGATATTAGGTGGAAGTTTTTCACTCAGAGGGTGGTGACACACTGGAACAGGTTGCCCAAGGAGGTTGTGGATGCCCCATCCCTGGAGGGATTCAAGGCCAGGCTGGATGTGGCTCTGGGCAGCCTGGTCTGGTGGTTGGCGACCTTGCACATAGCAGGGGGGTTGAAACTCAATGATCTTTTTGATCCTTTTCAACCCAGGCCATTCTATGATTCTATGTTTCTATGAAGGAAGTTTGATCAAGTCATCTGATGACTTGATAGTATTTGAGAGCTTTGTTGTCACACAATATTACAAGAAAGAAGGTTTTTTCATTATTTAACAGAACTTTGTGCCTGTCTTTCTACAAAGTTAGTTCCCATTTCATTTGTGTTACCACTTCAAATATTTAGCCACACTACTTTTATTTTACTTCTATGAGTAAAAGATGATGCCTTCTTTGATATCTGCTATATTGAGGGTTATGGCTGAATTCTATCTTTCTCCCTCAGTGAACAACTGCATTTTTCCCTTTCCTTTATCTAGCCATCAGTATTTATGGATTTTTGTAAGAATGCAACATCTGTGATGTTTCTTAGTTTTTTCAGTTTTCTTTGAAATTACCCATGAGCTCAGAAGTTATTAAGGAGGGCAGATGTTCAACCAAACAGACAATGCGTGAGCCTTTTTCCTTAGGGAAAATAGGCTAACAGCAAATTACTATAATTAATGCTTGGTACTGTCTATATAAAATCTTTTGTCAAAGGAAGACACAGTAGTCCAAGCGTAGATTGAGGAGGTGAATGTCCATGCTTACTTTTGTGACACTGGCCAGTCAACCAAATGAAGGGGTGCATTAGAATGGCTTAGAACTTTATCCAGCCTCTAGATTTCTGCAGTGCTTTCAAGTGCAGCTCTGACAGCTGTGAGTCTTATTAGAACAGCCTTTCCTGGCTGGCTGTCCGGAACCCATCTGTTGGTACCTTCACTGGAGACAATTTGTTACGAACACAGAGCTCTTAGGGCTCCCACTGCCCTTTTGGTGGGCAGAGAAGATCACAGTGTACGGCAAAATGTTTTGCAAAGGCTGGATGTTGACTTGGTTCTTTTATTCTGGGAAATCTTCAGTGTATTTGTTAAAGAAAAAATAAAAAAAAAAAGAAGAAACACTTTATTTATTTAGAAAGCACTGGCATTTAGCTTCACAAACCTGATTGATAATTTTGTTTTTCATAAAACTGAGCTGCATGTGCTTTTCCCTTTGCAGTGAACTGTGCTTGATGTAAGGCTTTGCTGGTAAACAAAACTCTTGCTTATGATTGCTGAAGTACTAATGCCACCATTGCAGCAGTCTGTCGGAAATACGCAGCCTGACTGCTGAGACAGTCCAAACAGTCAGTCAAATTACATTACTTCCCTGTTCCACTCTCTGCTGTGTTGAAACTTGAATAAAATTAAGCTCTGTTAAACATTTCTTGCTCCCAAGAATTATTTAGCACATAGTATTGAATATTCGGTACCTCCATCAAAGCTGCTAGCAACACTGAAGCAGGTTTCTGATACAGAACTATGTCTTTGCCAAGAATAAGAGTTAGGAAATATCCTTGCACAAAGCGCTTGCAGCCTCATGACATTTTCAAGAAGTTTCTTGATATCACAAGGAGTTCAAGACATTTGTATGTAGTCCAAACAATACATTTACTTTGATAAAGAGAATTTGATCTATTCTTTTCCTTGGTAATTTTGAGGTGAAGCCACTAAATAATTAGTTTGTTGTAGAGCAGGCTGAGACTTGATTTGAAAAACAAAAAGAAAAGTCCCTTGCTCCAGTCCTCTCCCTGTCCAAACTCATTCCAAAGGGAATGGGAACGCAGTGCTGCTGTGATGAGAATCGCCTTTCCTTTTCTTCATTTGGTTGACTGGCCAGTGTCACAAAAGTAAGCATGGACATTCACCTCCTCAATCTACGCTTGGACTACTGTGTCTTCCTTTGACAAAAGATTTTATATAGACAGTGCCAAGCATTAATTATAGTAATTTGTTGTTAGCCTATTTTCCCTAAGGAAAAAGGCTCACGCATTGTCTGTTTGGTTGAACATCTGCCCTCTTTAATAACTTCTGAGCTCATGGGTAATTTCAAAGAAAATTGGAAGAACTAAGAAAGAATCAGAGCAAACTGCAGCAACCCACCATGCTGCACCTCAGTTGTGACTGTTTTTCAGTTAGAGACTAAAATTCAGGGTCACAGTAGCAATTAATAATCAGTCCTTCAGCAAAGCATATCATCATAACTACATTGACTTCCCTAGACTTGGATGTAGTTTGGTTTTGACTCAGATTTTCCAAATAGCATGGTGACAGTCTCTTCTCTCATACTACAGCAATGTTTGTGAATTAGGAGCATAGTGGTTTTTCCTTTAAAAGGGCAGAAACTCTTCCAGGAATGTGTCTCCTTTTTTTTTTTTTTTCCTTTATTTATTTTAGAAAGGGATCCCAATTACGGAATTGTTTCAACCCCTCCAAAATCTGTAGCGTTTTACAAGCATTCCTAATTTCTATCACCTTGTAAAACTCCAACATCTTCCTAGGGCTGGGAGCTTGAGAAGTCACCCTTTCATAAAGCTGCATGGAGATGGCTTTGTGGTCCCTGTGCTGACATGGTCCTGCTGTTTGGCACCTAGGCTGGTTAAAGGGCAGATTTGTATTCTGGTAAGCTCTGTGCAGACCAGCAGCCACAACTTGGCACTTCTCTGTTAAACTTCTGCACCACATATTTCTGGGGTTTGCTATCAAGGTTGGTACATTATCAGATGTTTCAGGATATGTTTGGAACATGGGAAAAAATTTATCTGTTTAGACTAGTCTTCCTAATAGCTTATCTGCTGTGGTGATAAATAGATGATAAAGACATCCAGTTAAAAATAGCTTTACAGTTGCTTAAAATTTTGTGATCTGAATAACCCATGAAATGTGCTGTAGGAATGCTCCTTTTCTTTTGTAGGTGAGAAAAATAGCTTTATTAGGAAAACTGCTTTGGTGGAACCACTGGCATGTTTATCCATCTGGGCTGTTTTCTACCATGCTAAAGACTGGTGACACTCAGATAACTGGGCCAAACAGTCACATTTCCTTGGATGTGGTAGAAGAAGAGTGTAAGTATACAAATGCACTAATATTTTGTTCAGGAAAATTTTACAGCTTTTTTCAAGAATAAAAATTGGAGGAATTTCAACCCATTATCTCCTAGGGATTGAAGGCAGAAGGAAACATTCAGATCACCTTGTCTGCTTTTTGACATAGCACACACTGCAGAACTTCCCTAAAGAAAGTTGAGAGTCTTTAAATCAGTGACACTGCTGAGACTACCATCTGATCTCATGCAAGACAGTGCTAGTGGAAAAGAAGACCACAGTTATTGAGAAATTGTTCCACTCCGTGCATCATAGAGTCACAGAATCTTTGGAGTTGGGAGGGACTTTTAAAGGTCATCTGGTCCAATTCCCCTGCAATGAACAGGAACATCTACAGCTCCATCAGGTTGCTCAGAGCCCAGTCCAGCCTGACCTTGAATGTCTCCAGGGACAAGACATCCACCACTTCTCTGGGAAACCTGTTCCATTATTGTAAAAAATGTCCTCATTATATCCAGTCAAAATCTCCCCTCTTTTAGTTTGAAACCATTTCCTTTGTCCTGTTGCCACAGACCCTGATGAAGACCCCTTCTTTCTCATATCCCCCCTTTAGATACTGAAGGGCTGCTCTCAGGTCTCCCTGGAGCCCTCTCTTTTCTTGGAGACTGAACAGCCCCAGATCTTTCAGCCTATCCTCATAGCAGAGGTGTTCCATCCCTGAGATCATTTTTGTGGCCCTCCTCTGGACACATTCCAGCAGGTCTATGTCTCTTCTGTACTGAGGACTCTGCATATGAACACAGAACTCCAGGTGAGGGCTCACCAGCACAGAGCAGAGGGACAGGATCACCTCCCTTAACCTACTGACTATGCTGCTTTAGGTGCAGCCTAGTGTACTTTTGGCTTTCTGGGCTGTGAGGGCACATTCAATCAGAAGGTGGTGACACACTGGAACAGGTTGCCCAGAGAGGTTGTGGATGTCCCATCCCTGGAGGCATTCAAGGCCAGGCTGGATGTGGCTCTGGGCA